ATCCAGTTCCATCCCAGCTCCATCCCAGCTCCATCCTCAGCTCCATCTCAGCTCCATCCAGCTCCATCCCAGCTCCATCCAGCTCCATCCAGCTTCATCCTCAGCTCCATCCAGCACAATCCTCAGCTCCATCCAGTTCCATCCTCAGCTCCATCCCAGCGCCTTCCCAGCTCCATCCTCAGCTCCATCTCAGCTCCATCCTCAGCTCCATACAGCTCAATCCCAGCTCCATCCCAGCTCCATCCTCAGCTCCATACAGCTCCATCCCAGCTCCATCCTCAGCTCCATCCAGCTCCACCCACAGATCCATCACAGCTCTGTTCATCACCATCACAGCTCCAGCCAGATGCATGCTCCGCTCTTTCCCTACCTCCATCAGTCTCTATCCTGGCTCCATTTTACTCCATGTAGCTCCATCCAGCTCTATCCAGCTCATCTCTGCTCCATCCTGGATCCATCCAGTTCCATCCCTCCTTCATCTAGCTCCATTTCAGTCCAATGAACTCTATCCCCATCTCTATTCTGTTTTATTCCCAGCTCCTTCCAACTCCATTCCAACTCCTTCCAGCTCTATCCTAGCTCATCACTGCTCCATCGTAGCTCCATCCTGTTTGCCTGCTTTGTCTCCAGATTCATCTCAGCTTCTTTGTGAGCTTCACCCCATTTCCATTTCCAGTTCCTTCCCAGCTCTGCCTTAGCTCTATCCTAGTCCATCCCAGCCCCATCCAAGCCCATCCTCAGCTCTATCTAGCTTCCTCTCAGATCCATTTCTGCTCTATCTCATTTTTATCCCTACTCCTTCCAAGTGGCATCTCCAGCTCCTTTCTGAGCTTCATCCCAGCTCACCTCCCTTTCTATCCAGTTCCATCCCAATCTCCATCTCTGCTCCCTCCCAGCTGTAGCCCAGCTTCCTCCAAAGCTCCACCGTCACCTCTGTCCTTGGATCCAGCTTCTTTCTTAGCTCCGTCCCCGCCTCCACACATACACCTTCGTATATCATCTGGCAGAAGCAATTTCCCCCTTTCCTGACTCACTGTTTATCACTACTCAAAAGTGTACCACTCTGGGAATCCCCAAAACACTGATAAAGAGGGTGTCTCTCAGGGCTGATGAAATGAGCCTCTCCACACAAACACCTGCCTGCGGGACTGCCCTTGGGGATATAACCCTGTCACACTACTTGTTCCCTGCTTCCTGAAGGTGACAGAGTACCTGCTACATGATTTTGACTAGTGTCCCAGGTCACAGATTTACAGAACATTAATCCTTGAATAATCACTAAAAATCAAGTAGGCAAATCCCTCTAATTTTCAAAATAAAACTATGGCCTCGAGAGGCAAAGTCACTTCCCCCTGATCCCATAAAACCAGATTATCTAATTCTCCTTCAGTATAAAGAGAAACACTTTAAGACCCTGGAAGCATCTCAGTACTTTCTGGTCTTGGGAGTTTCTTCTATTTTCAACTTCTGTGAAATTTGTCCAGTGTGGTTTCTCTGGAGTTAATATTTCTTCCCTAGGAACCCAAAACACTGACTGTGGGAGCTGCCTCACAAGAAACCGAGGTGAAGCTGACACGCAGGCTTGTCTCTGTTCTCACACATACCTAAGGGTGTGCTCACATCACTGCCCCTCTTCCCTTCCCTTGCCTCCATCTGCTGATCCCATCAGAAACTGGGACCTCCCTGTCCACCGTACATTGAAGTTATGACATCTACACCTACCCAGATCTGTCTCCTGAGTCACCTGGACAGCACCCCTTAGGAGTCGTCCAGGTACCTGACAGAACGGTGTCTACTAATCAAACCCTTAGGAAGTTCCCTCAAACCCTCCCCACTCCTAAGTCCCTGCTGTGCTGAAAACCACCCCATACATATGCAGTACCATCAGTCACAACAGAAGTTAAAACACTGATGCATTTCCCATCAGGTGGGAAACAGCTGCAGCCCCTGCCCACCTCCACCCCCAGAATCACGGGCACCCAAACATCCCAGGCTGCCCTGGGACAACAGGCCCTCCCCATGGTAAGCCACAGGGAAAAGCTTGAATGCCCAGGGGCCGCAGGACTTCTGCCTGAGGCCCCACCTGCATGCGTTTCCATGGGCAGGTGTCACACTGCGCAGGTCAACAAATGCTGTGCACTCAGATCTACCCTAATCCCTGAAGCTGCCATTCTACAATTCTTCAACTCCTGCCTCCCAGGCAGAAGTCACTCAGTGGCCACCCACTGCAGTCACGCTGTACCTGCTCTCTTCCTCACCTGTATCTCCTCATGTCTCCTGCCCACAGCAGCCCATGAACAGGTCCCCTCTCATGTGGATATCTGCATCTGCCCTGCGCCTGCTCCAGCCCACAGCAGGCATGCAGCTGCCCTCTCTCTCACCTGGATCTGGGCAAGTCCCTGCCCACAGCAGGCATGCACCTGCCCTCTCTCACACATGGATCTCTGCACAACCCCAGCCCACAGCAGGCATGCAGCTGCCCTGTCTCTCACCTGGATCTGGGCAAGTGCCTGCCCACTGCAGCCTGATGCACCTGCCCCTCTCACACATGGATCTCTGCACCTCTGCTGCCTACTACAGGCCCATACACCTGCCCCCCAAATACCTGCATCTCAGCATAGCCTCTTCCCATTGTATTTACCCTGCACCTGGTCTCACTCTCACGTGGATCTCTGCAAACCACCTGCCCACTGCAGCCCCAAGTATGTGCCCCTGTGCTCACCTGGTATGAGCAATTGGCATAACCCTGCCAATTAAGGCCCCAGGCACCTGCCACCTCTCACCTGAATCTCTAGAGTCCACTTGCCCATTATAGCCCCAGGCACCTGCCCTTCCCTCACCTGGTCCTCTGCAGCCCACTCACCCACTGCAGCCCCACCCCCACCCCGGCCCCTTTCCCCTGGATCCCTGCACTTCCATCACCACTGCACCTGCCTCGTACCTGCACCTCCCTTACCTGGATCTGCACACGTCTCCTGCCCTCCAGTCTTCCCTTTCCCAGGTGACCTCAGCTGCTCTCCCTCACCTCTAGTCAGGCCATCTCACTATGATCACCCTGTAGGGTCCTCTTGCTGTACATATTGGGTCTCTAGATGGCCTCTCTGTCCCTGCTGAGAGTGCTACACCAGGCCACCCCATGTCAGGGAAACCCGCTAGAGTCCCGCCATGTGAGGGGCCGCCTCTGCCCTCCAGGTCCTTTCCTACCCATGGACATGTCCTTGAAAATGCTCTTTGCATGTGTCTGTGCCCTGGGAATGGCATGGTCTGCAGTGACCAACTCCGGGCTGCATGGCGCATCTCTCTCTCAGGCACCTCCACGGGGCTTCAGATTTCTTTTTCTAGAAGTTTCTGGCCCCAGGCTGGCTGGGGTGCTTCTCATGCATGACCCCTAGTGCTCTCCATGCTAATGATACATACACTCTACTGTCTTTTCTAATAAATGGCAGATTTGAGACAGGGACAATGTGTCTCCAGAGGATGTCCCAGCTGCTGGTATCAGGCCAAGGTGCCCCAGGTGCCCAGTGACCATCTGCTGTGAAGGGGACAGTGAGTGAATGATGTCACCCCCGTGTGAATGGGACAGTGAGTGAATGACATCACCCCCGGGTGAAGGGGTCAGTGAGTGAATGACAACACCCCGTGAAGGGGACAGTGAATGACGTCACCCCTAGGTGAAGAGGAGAGTGAGTGAATGACGTCACCCCCGTGTGAAGGGGACAGTGAGTGAATGACGTCATCCCTTGAATGGGACAGTGAATGACGTCACCCCCGTGTGACGGGGACAGTAAGTGAATGACGTCACCCCCGGGCGAAGGGGACAGTGAGTGAATGACGTCACCCCATGAAGGGGACAGTGAATGATGTCACCCCCATGTGAAGGGGACAGTGAGTGAATGACGTCACCCCGTGTGAAGGGGACAGTGAATGACGTCACCCCTGGGTGAAGGGGACAGTGAATGATGTCACCCCTGGGTGAAGGGGACAGTGAATGACGTCACCCCTGGGTGAAGGGGACAGTGAATGATGTCACCCCTGGGTGAAGGGGACAGTGAATGATGTCACCCCCGGGTGAAGGGGACAGTGAGTGAATGACGTCACCCCCGGATGAAGGGGACAGTGAATGACGTCACCCCCGGGTGAAGGGGACAGTGAGTGAATGACGTCACCCCGTGTGAAGGGGACAGTGAGTGAATGATGTCACCCCCGGGTGAAGGGGACAGTGAATGACGTCAGTCCTGTGTGAAGGGGAGAGTGAATGATGTCACCCCCGGGTGAAGGGGACAGTGAGTGAATGACGTCACCCCTGGATGAAGGGGACAGTGAATGATGTCACCCCGTGTGAAGGGGACAGTGAATGATGTCACCCCTGGGTGAAGGGGACAGTGAGTGAATGACATCAGCCCTGTGTGAAGGGGACAGTGAGTGAATGACGTCACCCCCATGTGAAGGGGACAGTGAATGTATGATGTCACCCCTGGATGAAGGGGACAGTGAATGATGTCACCCCGTGTGAAGGGGACAGTGAATGACATCACCCCCGGGTGAAGGGGACAGTGAGTGAATGATGTCACCCCTGGGTGAAGGGGACAGTGAGTGAATGTCACCCCTGGGTGAAGGGGTCAGCGAGTGAATGACGTTTTCCCGTGTTCTCAGGAATGCTGCCGCAGCATTCTCTAGGGTGGGTCGTCCAGAGGCTCCCACATATCGGCACAGGGTATGTGCAGCAGAAGGTTCTAGAGCTTGGGTGGCTCCTACGCTACCAGCGAGACGCTTGGCTGCACCGACACCGCCCTTCAGGAGACTCTCATTCTCCCCCTTAAACACAGGTTTCCCCTGTCTCTAAATAACTTAGCAAAGCTGCTGAAATCACCCTTTCACCTCTTGAAACAGGTTCCCTCGTGTAATTAACAAGAGCCTCAGGCTGGCAGCTCCTTCCCTCCCACGCAGTCCCTGTGACTGAGCCACAGGAGCCCAGCAGGACCCCAGGACCCCATACTTACTCCACATCAGCGAAGGTGCTGCTGGGTACCTGCAGGAGGCGGGCGACGTCCTCCACCAGCCGCCTTCCTTCCTCGGGGCGCAGGGGGCTGCGGAGGACAGTGGGGGAGCAGTCAGCACAGGGGAGATGTCCACTCAAACGTCCGCAGAGCCAGCAGTCGGGAGCACTGAAGTGCCATGGCCTCACAGCCCTACTTCCTGGTCCCCACACACACCCTGCTCTCCTGGCCTGGGGTCAGCTGCCCCTCAGGCACGAGGGGTCACCCGAGTTTCCAGCTGTCAGACAAACGGTGCAGTGCGGACGGGGCTGTGGGCAGCCCGCGTGGCCCCCCATGTGGACACTGGCTCCTCTCAGCCTTCAGTAAAAGTACACTAAAGGGGAGAAGGGAGAAGGCAGGGACGGGCGGATGCGGAGGGCGCTGGGCCTCTGACTGCGGACGGACGGGCACGCCCAGAAAGCACCTGTTTTTAATGGGCTCATCTCTGATGTGAACCAGGCCCCAGTAAGGTGTGATTTAACCACCCAATAGAGGAGTGCACGTGGAAACCAGGCAGCCGGCCCCGGCAGCAACTCAGGGAAGGGGCAGGCGCATTCCCGGAAGACGCCGCGGCCGCAGACTCCCCTCAAGGCGGCCTGGCTGACGCCAGGGCAGTGTGCTCTCTGACGCCCAGTCTCAATGGCCAGCATTCAGGCTGAAAGTCACGAGCTGCCTGTGAAATCCCGTTAGTGCCACTTTAGTGGAGTATGAGATTACATTGTTATGTAAAAGCCGAGCTGTACGGCAAAGGATGTCCCCCCGTGGACAGAGGCGCCTGCATTCCTCCTGCAGTGACCGTGCAGGACACCCGCAGGGCGCCAGGCACTGCTTCCAAGTCCAGCAACGGACAGCAAAGCCAGCCCTGCCCTCGAGGGGCTCACATTCCAGGGGAAAGGCAGCGAAGAGACATTAGCGAACAGAAATTGATCCTGCTGTGACGGGTTAAATTATGTCACCTAAAAACACATGTTGAAATCCTAAAACCCAATAATGTGAGCCTATTTGGAAACAGGGCATTCGCAGATTTACTGAAGCTGGGTCGTTAGGGTGGACCCTAAGCCAATGTCCCTGGTGTCCATATAAAAAGGAGGGTCTGGACTCAGACAAACACACAGAGCGCAGGACGGTGCAAAGACACGGGGAGAAAGCTGAGGTCGTCTCAGGCCAGTGGCAGCGGGGGCGAGGCTGGGAGCAGACCCTCCTCAGCCTCGGGGCACCGGCCCTGCCCACTTCTGGGTCCTGGACTTCAGCCTCTGCACTGGAGCGTCTAAGACGGAGCCCTGGCTCCCCCCAGCATCTAGGGTCAGGGTGATGAGAGGAACTGGCAAAAGAGAAAGGAAAGGGCTGCCCCAGAGGCAGGCAGAGAGCTGGCGAGAGTTCCACGCAGAAGGGCCGGGCCTGAGACCGGTCCAGAGAGACGAGGATGGGGCGCTGACGTGGAGCTTCCGGGTCCCGGCGGCTGTGGTGGGCCTGCAGGAGCTCTTCTGCGAGGCTCTGGGGACCAGCAGCCTGTTCAGCATTGGCGGGATGGAGGGTAGGAAAGGAGACATGGGCCAGCACGGCAAGCGCCACCCTGGGCTCTGGGGCAGGAGGGGAGGTTCCTGTGAAGCTGGGAGATGCATCAGGACAACAGTGTAGGGATGGGAGTGACCACAAGGAGCTGCCGGGTGTGGGGCACGGCCCTGCACACCCCGGAGCAGGCAGAGGCCTCCAGCAGGAGTGCGGCGCTGGTAACGGAGCTGGCACCAGTGCTGGAGACCCTGGGCATTCTCTACTCATGACTTCTACTCAGGGACCCCTGGGGAGACCACAGCAGCGCCTGCAGATTCTGACTTGTGAGCGGGGACACACAGTGACCGGTCCAGCCTGTGCGCTGCTGCATCAGCTGGAGAGAGAGCTTAGTTATTCAGGTTATGAATCCTTCCTGGGGACAGACAGACATATTGAGGTGGAGCCTCACAGGCCTCGCACCTGGCAATGAGAAAGCCATCCGATGACATCAGTGCTACAAGCTGTGGTCGTGGCCACAGGGACACAGCCCACCGACCTTGGCCATGACCTTGAGGCATGCAGCCATCTGGGACAAGCTGGGGCACTGGCCATTTTCTGCTCAGGGAGGAGCCACATCTGGGCTCAGGGTGGAGCCTGTCCCAAAAGCCCTGTACCTCCAGGGAGGCCGGTGGCCCCCACATCTGGGTACCCCTCAGAGCCACCCAGGGAGGGCGTCCAGGCCCATGCCTGTCCTGCCCAGCCAGTGCAGTTGGAACTGGAGCCAAGAACAGTGTATTTAAAATCAAAATATAAAACCAAAACAATCCCTTGCAGGCGAATGTGACAACTGGTCTGGTTTGGGAGCCCTGGTTACAGCAATGGAAAGATGAGGGTGCACCCCGGTACCACACGCCTTCCCTGCCTAGTCTGGGGCTCCGGGACCTGAGTGGGCCAAGGACTCACCAGGAAGGCTGTTGGAATGCAGATGCCCCAGCCCCCTCCCTCAGAGTTTCAGAGTCAGAAGGCCTCAGAGTTTCAGGTGAGGCCTGGGAATCTGCATTTCTCGTAGGTTCCTACCAGTACTGACACTGTTGTCCAGGCACCTGCTTTGGGAACCCCTGGGCCAAACTCCCACACCATAATACCACTAGCAAAGCCACATGACTCCAACTCTAGGCTAACATAGGTCGCTCAGCTTCAGGCAGTCTACACGTTAGCTGGGAGGGACGTGGAAGACTTGTGTGGGAATGTTCTGCTCTTCATCTAACAAAGATTTCCTGAGCACTAGGGGTACCAGGCTGAGCCAGGAGCTACGGAGATAGAGATGAGGGAGGAGGAGGAGCCCGTGGCCCCAGGCAACCTCCTGTCTGGCAGGAGCAACAGTAAAGAACGTGCATAAAAACCCATGGCACACCCCAGGGAAAAGAGAAGCCAGGGTCCTGGGGCCTGCACGGGAAGCTGGTCCAGGCCGGGGTAGGGGCGCCCCAGAAGGGTCCCCAGCTACCACAGGGCTGAGAGGTTGGATCGTGTCACTAGTCTAAGGCACAGAGTTCGAGAGGCGGGCACGGGGTGGAAGGAGAAGCAGGTGCCCTGGGGCAGCACAGTCACTTACAGAACTTGAGAGAAGGGGCTGGGGGCACGGACGGCTGGGGGAAGGGGCTGCCTACATGGTGCTCCTCATCCAAGATACAACAGCGAGCTATCAACAGGGCCTACGCCACGGCACTGTGCTGATCAGGTATGTAAAAGTTGACTCTCCTGGTCCCAGCTACTCAGAAGGCTGAGGAGCCCAGGAGCTCAAGCCTGCAGTGAGCTCTGACCGCACCCGTGAATATCTGCTGCACCCCAGCCTGGGTGAAAAGCAGGACCCCATATCCCAAACAGCAACACCAACAATGAAAGTTCACGCTCCTGGATAAAGAACAGGTTGGACACCAGAGGAGACACGAGGGAGCAGCGGGAGGCCTCCGGAATGTCTCAGTGACACTTGAGCTCATGCAGGCTGCACCACGGTGACGGTGACTGAGTGCACATGGTCACAGGCAGCAAGATGTCAGCAGGTAAGGTGTCCAGAGCTGCGAGTGAGGAAGGTGGGCTCTGCAGGGCAGACGGACGCAGAGGCTGAGGTTGTTTTCTGACACAGGCTGCTATGAACTGGTTGTGACCCCTAAAATCTGTATGTTCCAATTGTTAGCCCCAAGGTGAAGGTGTGAGGAGGATGGGCCTATGGGGGGTGGACAGATCTTGAAGGCGGAGCCTCCTAATGGGATCAGTGCCCTCTACAGAAGGCTCTGTAGCTCTTTCTCCTCCACGCGAGAAAATGCCATCTGCAACCCGGAAGTGTCCACCAATAACCCCAAAATCTGCTGGCATCTGGATTCCAACCTCTAGAACTGAGGAAGAAATTCCCCTTCCTTCTAAGCTGCCCCCTCCATGGTACTTTGCTATGCACTGCGAGTGGACTCAGGGACAGCTCCAGGACAGAGAAAAGATCCTAAGGTCAGCCTAGGACACAGTGAGTCTGTGTTGCCTGCAAGGCATCAGGCGGCTATGACAGGACTGGGTGGGCCCGGAACTGTCTGCACTGAGCCCACCCCTCACATTCTACCTGCGCCACCCTCAGATAGAAGAGGGAAGGAGCCTGGTTAGCACAGGTGAGTGACTGGGAACTAGAGTTCTATAAGCCAGGCCCACCCTGGACAGCCTGCATGGAGTGGGGGAGTGAAGACCTCACCCACATGGGGTGGGCTTGGCTGCTGCACCACGCACCTCTCCCTGCACATGGGCACCACAAGTACTCACTCCACCAGCAGACTCTACCTTGGCATTAACTGCATGAATGAATGAACAGGAAAATGTCAAGAATGTTAAAAAATCCAACATTTTAAAAATTATTAAAATGTAAACTATTAAATGAATCCCACTCAATTTAGAAAGTTTCTGTAAAACTTAAGGAAAGCAGGAAAGAATTTTGGGAAGATGCTGAGCAGGAAACACCAAGAATCTGTCTCCCACCTGATGACATTGTGCTAGTCAGATCTGTCTGATGCAACCAGTCCTTGAACTCTGAGGCCTAACGAAGGCATCCGACTTCTAGGGGAAGGTTTGGATACACCTTGCAGTCAACGTCAGCTTATCACAGCAGGAGCTACCCCTACGTCCCCTCCAGCCCTGTGGCAGGCAGCTGTGCACATGTTCCTGGAGCCGCCTGCACACACTTGCAGGAGCCAGAACAGGCAACACAGACTTTGTCCTCCAAATACTGGCAATCTGTGGTCTCACTGCTGATTGCCGCTTCTCATCGCCGATGCGCAGGCAAGGAGGAGGGCGCCATCTTTCGGCCACCTCCTCGTTGTTGCCGCTCCTCACCCTCTGGTCAAAGTGACTTACAGGGGATTTTAAATGCTAATGCCCATTCTTCCCACCTTCATTTTTCTCCTTTTCCCCTTTTGGGAGCCAGAAATTAAACACCAGAATATTCCAAAGTAACTGAATGTACAGGGAAAATTACAAAGTCACCACACACGCCCAGGGGAAAGGCTCAGACAAGACCATAACTT